GGTCTGTTAGTAAAATCTGTTGACTTTAGCCATCTTTGTTGCATTAGACACCAATGGTGACAGTTCAAAAGTTTGCATGGCTGCAACTTCCCAAATTAAACATGCCCTCAAGATGTGCTAAAGATATTTCAATATCCTTTTATATTATCCTTAAATATTAACAAACTTTTCTTTTGGTATATTCATTTTTAAGGCCCTGTATGGCTCGGTTCCAGAGATATGGGGGTCTCAATGTGGCCAATTTCGCAGTTTTCAAAGGTTGAAAACCAAATGTGATTTTGTGTTTATCCAATCATGACTGTTGACACCACAAAAATGCAATGTGAACCGCAACCCAGGGTTTAGGAACATACAGTGCTACACATCAGATTATGAATAACCAGGAATTTATACTCACTATTGTTGTTTTTGCCATTCTTCAGAATTTTGTTTTTAGTTTTTTACAAAATCTAAAATTTTTGCCAGGGAAGTTTCTGACATTTGTTCCTGTAGCTGAAGTCTAAGAGCATGGTGCTAAAAAGAAAAGATTGTGAAATCAATTCCAAAGCAACACGTATTGATAAATGTATATGCTTTGAATGCACTTTCACTTGGGTTAATAGCATCTGTCAAATGTATAAATGAAATAACTATGAATCATTATATAATGACTTTTATCGCTAATTTTATAGCACTACAGTCTTATGAGTGTGTGTGGTGTAAGGGAGAGCATAGTTTAATACTTATTGATTTTTACTCATTTATTCAGAAAATGCTAAGCCTGAATCTTTGAAATGTTGTCTTTAACATCTTTGGCATACTAACAGTCATTTATAACTGAGTTAGATACTGTATAAATTAACTAGAATTTATAAAGGCAGATTTTTACATTCATCGCATCCATGTAACAGTGGTGATGTATAATTAAATAATAATAAAAAACAGATTTTCGCTGCCGAATGAGACCAAAAGCATGCAACACTTATATAAACACATGTAACTTTGAATTATTGTCACAAAAAAGGTTATTGTAAACAAAACAAAAATAATAATTTTGTGAATGTATATATTGTGTGTGTGTATGTATATATATA